CTGAATTGGCCTCCAAAGAGTTTGATGTAGTGTATCAACTTTGTTATAGTTTTAAAACATGCACTTCCGATTCCATGGAAAAAAAGCTACTAAAATAGCTTGTTGTGGAGTAGTTGTTTTTGTGATGTCGCAAAAAACAGCATATTTACATTCACTTAGCCTACAGCACTTTAGCTCCACCCATTCACATTGAAGTTATAAGGAGTGTTTCAGACTGGACTGCTTATTTAAATAAGGCACCATAGGGGGCAGCCAATCAGAACAGAGATCATTTACATATCCCAGCCTTAGAGAAACAGCCTGTTTAATTCTTGGGAATAGATTGGAAAATGATCATGTATAAATGTAGCATTTTTGGTACATAAAATGACAAAATGTCATGAGTTGGCTTCAGGTAAAATATCAAAGATGAAAAATTAAGGATTTTTAAATAAAGGTTGTAAAATAATCAAAGTTAGAATCAAGATTATTTGCGATAAACATTAACTCATTGAACCCTAAAAGCCTGGATGGTGGCAGAGGCTTCAATTCCATCATAACACACACATGAGTTTCCTTGAAGTCACTTTATAATTTATAGTATTTAAGTATTATCTAAGTAATAAGTCTTAGAATTAATAACTCAGTCATAAGCCTGGAGTTTAGAGGGTTAACATGTATTAGGAATTCGGTGTTTGGTGTTTAATCAAAACACACTACATTCAACACAATTTACAACTACACTTATTGCACACAATTTAATCTTATGCATGCTTGTATATAAGCAAAGAAAAATATGAATTGTGACTGTTGCGAATAAATGTGGTATTTTATAATCTTAAAATATACAAAAACAAAAGGTTTTTGAGTCAATATGAATGCAGCTTTTAGTTGTGTACACAACAGACAGTCGATCCTGTTCCACAGCTGTGCTATGCTAACGTCATTAGCTCTCAGGTTTAGAGATGTCGCCATAGGAAAACGTCTGTGGTGACAATATCCTAGAAATAGATAGCACTGTTCAAGAAGACACAGAGCTCAGAGGATGGTTTTAGAATGACCTTTACACACATACACACACACACACACACACACATGCACTGAACTTGGCTTGTGTGTGTGTGTGTGTGTGTGTGTGTGTGTGTGTGTGTGTGTGTGTGTGTGTGTCAGTCAGAGCCTTTAAAAGTCTAGGAAAAATGTGTGTATGTCTGTTTGTAATGGAGCTCAGCACAGCAACAGTCCAGATGACAGCTCTGCAGGTGGCACATTAGGGGAAGCCCAGTGAAAGGACAGAATTACCTCTGAGAATGATTTAAAGCTTTCAGCCTGGACTCCCTGCAGACCATCAGTCAAGTGAACCCACTCATTAGCTGTAGGATCGCTCCAAACTACAGTAATGGAGTGCATGTTTAGAATTAAGTATACGGTGCAGTATTTCATTATTATTGCACTGATGGCTATTTGTTTATATTTTACTGCATACATTCTGTAGTGATGCTGTAACTGACACTTCATTCAAAACAAGAAATTCCTGTTATTTTTTTTTTTTGTAATAATGTTGGTCGGTATTTATTCTAGTGTTATAAAGCTTATTTAAGCAAAAACACACTTAAAGGTGAAGTCCACTGATTTGGCAAAATGTTTTGCTTAATTCTATCATTGACATGTAAACAAATTGATTCAGAATGGTTTGATGTGAGATGGTTCACTGTAGAGAAACTTACTAAAAAGATTTCTTTACAGTGGTGATGATAGGAACCAGGGGTCATATGTCCACAACACAAACTTAGCCATTTTATTTATGTGAATAAAATATGTTTAGGCCAAAATCATGTCACACAACTATTATAAAACAATGCCTAAAGCATCAAGTGACATATCTGTAACCATTTTGGGTAATAATTTTCTGCAAGGTAGCTTTTAAAGACTTGAAACTCTTCGGATGTCTGGTTCCTATCACCACCACTGTGAACAATTCTGACTTGGTTTCTCTAGAACTCTACAGAGCCATCCTGATTGACTTAGTTTATACCTTAATGATGTATTTATGCATATAGTCTTGAAAATCACTGGATTTCCCCTTTTATGACCTGTAAATAGTTTTGAACAGTTTTCTCTGGTGACCTAAGACCTACTATATATTCTGCTATTAATCAGTGAAGCTGTGATTAATGGCAGTTGAACTTAGCAATTAAATCTAATTTCACTCCAAAATACAGTAGCATTTAGCATTCTGTCATTGTGCAATATGCAGTGATGAGGTGCCCACTCCATCTACTTTATCTTGGCTGTCCAGTCTGCTTTCACGTCACTGATTGTAATCTGTGGAATGTCTGTTCTGCAGGACATTTAACTTCCACGTTTACAGTGTAAAAGAATGTAGTTGTGTTCATTCCTCAGTGTTAAAGGGCAGGATTAGGTAAGCCTCTCATTCTACAGGTTTTAAAGGGACCAGGTTAGCTGATATGTCACTTGTGCAGTTCACATATTTCACGTATTTTACATATTTAGGTATTATATTTCTATGTATGTCCTGTGCACAAGAGATAAAGTTTCGAATTGCTCTTTTGCTCTCACAGATGACAACTCTTACCTCGAACCAGTGGAACCGGACGACCAGGAAATAGACTATGACAACATTTGGGAGTATGACTGCAGTAACGGGATGATTCAAGGCTTGCCTGGAATTTCACCACACCGGACGCAGCCTGACTTCGCCGCTCGAGGCCTCAGCGCTATGGCAACACAGCAGAGATGGTCATAAAGAGGAACAATGGGCTTCCACCCGTCTGGACTTGTGCACATAGCAGGATAATCTGTGCCTTACTGCACTCTCTCTCTCTCACACACGCATACACCGGCATTGAGAAAGGGCTTTATATGAGGCCCAATTCCCCCACTGTATCTGAATGATCTCCCTGGGGAAATGTACATGGGCTGACTAGGCTCATGTAGGCACTGGAGCACTAAGCTCTTTTCTTTTCCCACAAGAGTCTCTGTACTCCTTTAAAATGTCACTTCCTGTTTTTTCTTTCTTTCTGTTTTGTAGATAGGTTATTATTATGATTCTAATAATTAGATTTTATTTATTAGGAAATAACTTAAGCCTTAAGCTTGTACTTGCATTTCTGCATCCTACACTACAGCTCATTCGAATGTGAGAATTCAGACACCACTCGTCTTGCAGTCATTTGTTAGATGTAGCATTTGTGCTTATAAACCTTTATGCTGCTGAAAAAAATAAGGGCTCTTTCTTGACACTACAGTTTCTAGTTTTCTTATTGTGTATATAATGTAAATAATTATTTTTATTGACTGTCTGAAATTTTGTTTTTTTGCACTGCTGTTTATACTGTTAATTAATATTTTTAATATTTATATATTTTTAGTCACATACAACAGTGAATGCTGTTCTTTTGATAGCCATTCCAGCAACACAAATAAGTCGGCGTTTGTTATTTACAGTTTACAAGAAAACACTGTCTGTGTATAAGCAGGTTTGGTTTTAAACATGTCACATATGCACATACTTTGCAGTTAGGTATGTTTGCCTTATTCCTTCAGTTTGGTGTGATGTGATATTCTTATTTGAAAATAAAAATTCATTCGTTTTTTGATGAATTGAGAATTGAGTGGTTTAATTAACAATTATACAAGTGACAGATATATATGTGTGTGTATATATATTTAGTAGTAAATATATATATATATATATATATTTCGTAGAATGAAGAACTAGCAGTATTTATTTCCAATTCTCATACCTATATTTATAATCAAATTTGACCAAAAGACAGAATTTAATAGCTATACAATCTCTCACTTGGTAAACTTTATATTTCACATCCCAACAACTTCCAAATGAAAGTGTGAGGAACAGTTTGTGGGATCAGTTCAGCGGTGTGAAGCTATCTTCTGCCACCTGCTGGTAGCACTTGGAGTAGACTTTAACCCCTACACTCCCACTTTTTGCCCCAGCTCTGTGAATACAACAATTTGGACAGCACCTCGACACAATACCATTCAAAAATAGTTTTGGGAAATCTAGTGAAAATGTAAGTTTTATTCATGGTCACAGTTGTGACTGGTGGGGAAACTATAGAGTCAAAGGTTACATCAGTTTGTCAATTAGTCCCAAACACATGAGAAGTGAAAAATGTAAAATAAATTGAATTGATTATAATATGAAAACTGTGGTAAAGTATTACATATAACTACGGAAATGCTCAGTGCATGTAGCCTCTATTGAGCCATCATGTTCTAGCATGTCCAAAACCTCACATGACGTCAAGATGTCTGAAAGGAAGCAATTTACAGAATTATCTACAGCAAATGTGAGCAGTGACCATTAACATGTTTACGCTGCCCAAAGGCATGATATAAATGAGGTAGTTCAGTCTAAAATATCAGTAATAGAGTATTTAAACATTGTATGTACCAAACATGGTAGATGTATCTGTATTCCCTGCTGGAGAAAACAGCATAGGCAAGCATGGCTGGTCACCAGCAAAACCAGCATATGTTGTGTTTTGGATACTGGTACTGGCATGCTGGTCAACTAGCATGACCATGCTGGGTGACCAGCTAAACCACCACCGGACCCCCACAAACCAGCTTACTTCCTTTTCCAGAGCTTCAGTCATATTTTTCATCATTCTTACTTGAAGTAAAAGGTTCTGGTCATGTGACCGATTACTCCACACACATAAACCTTTTCATAGGAAAGCAAGACAACTTATAATTTAATTCATAGTTTACATTCAGTAGAAAACTCTCAGTTCTTTTAGAGTGCATTTAAGGCTGCTAAGAGAACCTGAACCTCTTGAAGTCTGCTAGGCCACACCAACCAGCTCAATTTCCATTAGTTATACATGATTTACTCTCTTTTAAGTGCTCACAGAAAGCAAATAACCTCAAATGACCCCTCCCAAAAATTATTGTCAGCACCAAGTCCGCTACCTCCCTCTTGTGGTCAGAAAGGAATATTACAGTCAAAAATGTAATTCAAATTGCTTCTTTATTTCACTGAAATAAAACTAACTCTCTCAGAAAAAGAACAATGAGAGAGAGAGAGGAGAGAGAGACACAATAATGACATTGCAACTGATAGTTATTGTTAAAGCAGGTATCATGTACACTCTTGATTCTTCAAGGGTTCTGAAATGTTCTATGCAGAACAATTGGCTCTATGTAGAACAATTTCATGCTTAAATGGTTCTTAGCATGGTGAAACAGTTTTTCAGATTGATGGAGAATGTAGAGAACCACATACAACACATTCTCCGTCTCCATCTTTTTCAAGAGTGTACAGTAAATACCACTAAAACACTGATACACTGATATCATAACTGTCTGGGCTAATTTATGTTTAGCCCTATAATAGCTGCTGTTCTTTCTATTGCACAACTGTAGATGCTTCACAAGTTCTGAGATGACATTAAATCTGGGGATGTATGTAGGTTCTATATTTAGGTTTTAGTGGTGCATCATTTTGCCACATATCCTTGTGTTTGGACCCAAATTCCACCATTTCATACATTTTATCTACCTGTTCTTCACTGCACATTACAGAGTCTCTCTTTTACTTCCATTATGCAGAATCTCTTTGAGACACTCTGTGTCTCGGTCAGTGCACTTGTCTGAAAACCTCTTTAACACATGCTGCTTCTCTTTGTCTACAGCAACTGAACCTGTTTTGACGCAGTCAAACATAACCCGCCTTTCATTCGAGGATTTTGGTCATGTCACTACTGTACTGCATGGTTTAAACATGCCACCTGGAGATCACAAAGTTAATGCCCCTTACCTAAAGACAAATAAAGATGCATACACCCAACAATATGCATATGATTGCTAGATACATCCATAAATAAGCAATGAGCAAACACACAGATGGAAACAACTGAATGACATCAATAAATTACAGTGTCAGTAATAATATTCACATCATATGAATTTCCTACATGCATAGTCTAGTGACTGAAAAGCAGTCTGGCTCAGAAGGCTGCGGTGGAGTTTACGCAGGCTCGATCTGACGTAGTGGAGTTTTCTTAGCTGCCTCGTCCCTCATGTATCTCCTGAGGTATCGGATGGCGGAAAGTGCACTTATATTGGCCAGCAGAGCTGAATAAAGATGGAATGGAAATCAGTGAGTGGCAAATACGTCATTTACTTTCCATCATTTATCATTAGGTCTTTCAAGCTCCATTCAGTGAGTCATATATAAAATATATGATGTTTTTCTGCCACTAAGCAGTTATTATTACTTCTGTACATCTTTCAGTTAACATAACGGTAAAGAGTTCAAATTGAATGGAGGTAAATTACCAGCTTTCCACATATCTGCTCCTTGAGGGTTGGCAGACTTCAGGACCCACGAGGCAAAGGCAATGCAAACCAAGCACATGTCTGCCTGCTTCAGTGGCATCAGTGCAGCATCTACTCCTAGAAAGATGAGCAGGGAGAGTGAATTCAGAGTTAATTACTATAAAGAATGAAAAGTATAAGAATTATATTTGGTGCTACCATTTTATTAGTTCAGGGCATAACTGTATAGCTTCAAAATAGCTAAAATGGCACAGAGTACAGTGAAAATAACATCACACAGCTACAAACCAACTTCTTAAGTATGATGTAATTCACAATGCTACCATAAACATAGGCATAGTAATCAAATAAAGCCGCTTCTCAGGACTGTCTTGCTTCATTAGAGCTGATCCTAAAGCACCACTTAAGAATATGTCCAGCACTATGCTACACATACCAGAATTATCAATGATATTGTACGATGAATACCACTTTTACAAGAGGTTAAAGATTAGAGTAAAAATGCGTTTTACATTATATGTCTGCTGTTATATGTCAGCTGTTGTTGTTTTCAAAAAAGTACTTCAGATCTTGTGAACTACTTTGAAGAACAAAGTTTTGTTCCACATGACTGTAGTGCATACTTTGTTATCCACCTTTAACCCTGTTCTTCAGGAGTCAGGACCAGGACAGAGTATTTGGGTGGTGGATCGTTCTCAGCACTGCAGTGGCACTGACGTGGTGGTGTGTTAGTGTGTGTTGCGCTGGTCTGAGTGGACCAGACACAGCAGTGCTGCTGGAGTTTTAAACACCTCAGTGTCACTGCTGGACTGAGAATAGTCCACCAACCAAAAATATCCAGTCAACAGTGTCCTGCGACCACTGATGAGGGACTACAGGATGCGTAACACAAACTGTGCAGCAACAGATGAGCTATTACCTCTGACTTCACATCTACATAGTAGAGCAACAAGGTAGGAGTGTCTAATAGAGTGGACAGTGAGTGGACACAGTGTTTAAAAACTCCAGCAGCACTGCTGTGCCTGATCCACTCAGACCAGGACAACACACACTTACATGCCATAACACCTGGTGGTCCTTTCGGGGTCCTGACCATTTAAGAACAGGGTAAAAGGGGGCTAACAAAGTATGCAGAGAAACAGATGGACTACAGTCTGTAATTGTAGAACTGCAAAGTGGAGCTGATAAAATGGACAATGAGTGTAGATACAAGAATTGAACTTAATATCTAATTATGAACCATCTCAAAGCTAGCATACTTCCTGCACTCACTGCAAGAATGCAGTGCCAAAACACAGCTCCAAAAGTACAATGGAACACGCCAAGAGCCATGAAAACAAAATAGAGATTCCTATATAAAAGTAATACATGCAAAACCTGTCACTGTAGCTACTGGCCCAAATAGTGTTATATAATAGAGGTGTTTTTGAATCAGAGTTGATACTTGTTAAGAATTAAATCTTGTCTATTTTTATGTGCAGTTCAAAGTAAAACATGTGAATGCTTCCTGGCACATGGTAAATTTAAGAAGCCAGCCAGCAGCAGTGGGAGCAAGCACTCACGTACAACCATTCCATTGGCGTCAACATATTCCGCCTGCCACTACGTGCTCAGAGGCAGCCCCCACTGACAGCTGCAAGTACAGGAATCTACCAAGAGCACCAAAATGCAAAGAGGAAAGTAGATCTGGAATGGTGTGTCTCTGCAAAATGTTCTTCAAAGAACTAACACCTATTCCAAGTAGGAAGTAATACTTGCTGAGGCTTTCTTAAGAGAGGGGCTGTTAAACTAGGCATCACCTCAGGCAACAGAAATATGAATCTCCAGTGTAAGGCACAAGGCTCTGGAAATAAAAATGAAACCACATAGGAACACTATGTACACAGTATGTCATGTGAATGGAAAGGTATCAAAACTCTACAGAGCTCATATGCGTGTGCATGTGTGACTGATGGTAAAAATAGTGGAAGACTTACTTGGATCAGCAACAGCTGTCTGCATCTCATTGCGTACGTTCTGCTGGTTTGCCAGCTGCCCGAAGATGCGGTTCTCCAGGCTGAGGAGGAGCGGGTCTGGAAATGGCTTCTCATCTGGGCCCATGGCATTAATGGGCTGAATTCCTCTCTGAAATGACCTTCTCCTGTTTTTCACAGGGGTCAGAGCCCAAGAGCTGGACTTCTCAGGTGGAGCTGTGAAGTCTGAGCGACGAGCCTTCCTAAACGAAAGAGGGTTGTTTCTCAAGAAGTTCCAGCTATTATCAGTCTCAGGAGGAAGTTCCTCATAAGTATCCGAAGCTGCCACTGCATTGTGACTCTTGGCCGCCATGTAGTCATGTCGTGTGACAACTTGTATGACTGTTTGGTCATGTTCCTCATCCTCATCCGAATGGGAATCATCAGAGAAGAAATAATCATACACCTCTGGGAACTGAAGGTTTCTGTTTACTGAGCGCGAGCAGGAGAAAATGGGCACCAGCTCGTCTTTACTGCTGCTAGTGTTATCCGCAAGTGGGTAAAATAAACTTCCATCTTCAAACTCTGAGAAAAAATGGTCATATGTTTCAGGAACAGATGTTCCAGTTCCGTCAAGATAAGAAGCAGCCGTGTTGTCGGCAGCGGAGGCACAGCGTTCAGGTTCATCCCCACCGAACAGATACTGGACGATCTCAGAGAAAGTGATGCCAGCAGTCTCCATCTCCTCCTCCTCATCTGAGAGACAGACTGGGGATGAGGCATCCACACGATCAAATGGATCTACGTAGTCATCCTCAACTTCTGAGCAAATGGAGTGAGTTGAGTGAACAGAGTGGAGGGAGAGCAGGGAGGCATTCCTCAGGATTTTTCTGAAGGGCTCAGCTTCAAGAGCTTGTAGGTTCTGGACACTAATGTTCTTGCACATTTTCCGCAAACACTGAGCATTATCTTTATAGACAGGTGGTGGAATGCCTGTTTCTGAACTTAGCATGAACACATCCTCCATTTCAGTCCCTGTTCCAGATGGATCTGCATCACTCTCCCACATGGCATCTCCTGAGTTTGGAGACTCTTGTGACCCCTCCTCTAACTTGGCTGCCTCCTGGGCCTGGAGCTGTGAAAGCTCTTCGTCAAAGTCAGATATGAATGACATATCCCCGCTGGAGCGGTCAGGCTTAGAGTCATCAAAGTGAGTAAAGTACCCTGAATCTGCTGCATCTGAGATGTCTGCAATACCACTGTCCTCTGGCTGGAGCAGAACACTCGGATGCTGGGCTTGACTAACCAGACGAAGTCTCAAAATGTCATTTATTGTCAGTTTCTCCATTTCATTCCAAAAGGAAGACATAGCATATACAGGATGTGTGGGCTGACTTACAGCATCTATAGTCTCTAAGCTTCTGGCTCCATCCATTGACTCAAATGTAGCTGATGCCGTACCTTCCATTATCTCACTTGGTGACAACTCGTTGTCTTTGGATGAAAAGTTTGGTGGCACATTCTGGTCTTTACCTTTCTCTTTGTCAATGGTGTTAATGTTAGATAATGTGTGCTCTGCTCTGTCTATTGACTGAGGAGTGTGAGATGCCACACCCTGCATTATTGCACTAGGCAACAACTCATGGTCACTGGGTGGACACTGAAGTGGTACAAAGTGTACATCAGCTGTTTCTTCATTACCGGTAATAGAAATATTTAATGAGATGTGCTCCACAAGAGGACTCTCTGGGCCAGTGATCTGTATCAAAGGCTGACACTTCCTGCACTGCTCTTTGAGGAACAGCCCTTCATTTCTGCTATTTCCAGGTAAATCTGTTATGTCCTTTGGTCTTAAGGTTGTGGAAATCCCTTCTGTCCAATCTTCACTTTGCAAATGCAAGGAAAGTCTGCCATTTTCAGTTTCTAGATTTTTGGCTTCTATTGCTGACTCAGAAATAGGAGAATTCAAACCTGCCATTATTGCACTAGGAGAGGACTCATGGTCCTTGGATGGACAATGAAGTGGTACATAGTGCACTTTACCTCTCTCTTCATCTCCAGTGGCAATAATTTTAGTTGAGATGTGCTTTGTTTCATCTATCGACTCAGAAATAGAAGATGCTGCACCCTGTGTTATTGTACTAGGTGACAGCTCATGATCTTTGGATGGACAATGAGGGGGTACATAGTGCACTTCATGGTTTTCTTCATCTCTAGAGGCAATAACATTAGATGAGATGCGCTTTGCTCCATTGTTTGACTCAGGAGTAGAAGATACTGTACTCTGTATAAGTGCAGTTGGTTGCAACTCATGGTCTTCGGATGGATACTTTGGTGTTACATCTTGGACTTTGTTTCTCTCTGCATCACCAGTGGCAATGATATTAGATGAAATGTATTCTACTCCATCTATTATCTTAGGAGTAGAAGATGCCGCACCCTGTGTAATTTCACTTGGTGACAACTCATGGTCTTTGGATGGAAAATTTGGTGGTACATAGTGGACTTTACCTTTCTGTTCATCACCAATAATGTTAGTTAATATGTGCTTTGTTCTATCTATTGACTCAGAAATAGAAGATGCTGCACACTGTGTTATTGTACTAGGTGACAGCTCGCAATCTTTGGATGGACAATGAGGGGGTACATAGTGCACTTCATGGTTCTCTTCATCACCAGAGGCAATAACATTAGATGACATGCGCTTTGCTCCGTTGTTTGACTCAGGAGTAGAAGAATCTGTACCCTGTGCTAATGCAGTTGGTTGCAACTCATGGTCTTTAGATGGAAACTTTGGTGTTATATGCCCGGACTTTACTTTTCTCTTCATCACCAGTGGAAGTTACATTAGATGAAATGTATTCTGCTCCATCTATTGTCTTAGGAGCATAAGATGCTGTACACTGTGTAATTTCACTTGGTGGCAACTCATGATCTTTGGATGGAAAAGTTGGTTGGACATCTTGGACTTTACTTTTCTCCTTAACCTCAGTGGCACTAAGATTAGTTGAAATGTATTCTACTCCATCCATTGACTCAGGAGTAGGAGATGCTGTACCCTGAGCAATTTCACTTGGTGGCAACTTATGATCTTTGGATGGACAATGAGGTGATAAATAGCACTCTCCACCTTTCTTCTCAACACTAACGGTTAGAGAGATTTGCTGTAATTTTGCATCCTCCTCAAATTGACTCTTTCTGGGCTCCAGCCATTCATTTCTATTTTCAGCAGCAGAAGACAGAATTTCTACTTTTTCCACATTCATATCTTTCTTACTTTGAGGTAAATCTGTTACGTCCTTTGATCTCATGAATGAGGAGACCCCTTCTGTCAAATCTTTACAATGCAAATGTAAGGATAGCCTGTCAGTTCCAGTTTCTAGGCTTTTGGCTCCTTGTGCTGACTCATGAATAGGAGATGCTGTACCTTGCATCATTGTACCAGGTGACAGCTCCTGATCTTTGAATAGACAATGGTGCACTTTGTAGCTCTGTTGATCAGTTGTAGAAAGAGCAGATGATTTTGAGGTCTCGTTAAGTTGATTCTCTGGGCTGGTGATTTTTATCAAAGGCTGACATTTCCTGAACTCTTTGAGGGACAGCCTTTTATTTGTGTCTTCAGCAGCAGGAGACAGAAGTTCTATTTCTTGCAAAAGTATGCCAGGTAAATCTGCTATGCCCTTTGGTGTTAAGGATGAGGAGGTCGCTTTTTGTCCAGTCTTCATTTTGTGAATGCAAGGTACGTCTGCCATTCACAGACTCATTTGACATGACAGCTTCTTCTGAGACTTCTGTTTTTGTTTCAGTTGAATAAGCACTTTTGATTATATCAGCACTTAGACTTGCCAGCATTTGTGCATTCTCAAGACTTTTTTGGGCTTTCCCCGTGTTTACGAGATCAGATTGTGTCGCTAACTTGGAATCAAATGTCCCTGACAGACTATCCTTTCTTACAAAGTCATGATCATTTCTTTGTGCTGGAGGGACTTCCTCATGAGTCACATTAGTTAAATTCTGTTGATTTCAGCATTATCATAACATGCTGAGAGAGCCATCTTCTCTCTTATCTCAGGAAATGATGCACAGGAAATGTTAGCTGATGCTGAGGTTTTCCTCTGACTAACTGCACACTGAGCATCTGACAAGGTCACCATTTCTCCAACTTGATACTGATCATGAGGATTGTTGGATACCTTTGAGAAAACTGCAGGTTCCGAGAGCTGGAGCACTGCTGGCAATAACGCTGTACTATTTACTTGAGAGTTGCCTGTGTGATGCAATATTGAAGATGAAGATTTGTAATCTTCACTTATTTCTCTGAACAGTAACAGAGGCTTTTCAGTGCTTCTAGGTTTTCTAGCAGTCTGTGATACTACCTCTACTTCATCAGAGGTGGTAATTGATGCTGGCAAGGCTTCAGATCCTTTTAGTGCTGTTTTAATTTCCGAAGGCAAATGACTGTTTAGCTGTAAATCACTTCCCACGTTATCTCCATTAACGGGTGCCAATGTGCAATCATTACTTTGGAGTATTAGGGGCTCTGCCTTTTTAACAGGCAGACCATTTTCAGTAGATGTGAGACTTACTGCTATGGCAAATTGCCCAGCTGATGCTGCTTTCCCAGTGAGATCACTCTTCCCATGCATAAAGTCTAGTCTTCTTTTGTTTTGTGCAGCTGTTATTGTGCTTGGAGATTCGAGACTTTCTTGGCGATTTATTGCTGAATCAGGACATGCCACTGTGGGATCTATTACATTTGCTGGGAGTGATTGTGGATATACTGGGAAACTCTCTAAAATACTGTCTATCTTTGGAGGCGGTAATAAGATATGACATACATTGCCTATCTCAGAAACAGTTCCTGAGCTAAAGTCAGCAGATGGGTGTATCACTCTGTCCATTTCTTGTCTTCGCACAAATAGGTCATCATCAGACTCACTCTGTTTAGCTTGGAATTGGACCTCGTGTCTGTGGTCTGCTTCTGCTGGTTCGGAGCTCATTCTCTTTTTCTTCCTTCTCTTTCTTCTTGGGGTAACAGAGGAGGGACTCTGACTTACCAGTTCTTTTGAATTTTCAGAACTATCTTCTGTTACCAGCTGAGAGTTCTCCTGATTTGGACCTGTCAGATCTTTACCTTTGACTAGAGCACAACATGGAGTCTTCCCAGTGTCTGATTTGGGCCTAGTATCTTTGAACAGCTCATCACATTTCATCCTGTCTTTTATTGTGGTCAATGACCAGTCCTTATCTTTGATAAACAGCTCTGTAACCACTTCTAATTTCATTAACTGACAGCTTATTGTATCTACTAGTATAGGTGTCATCCGTCTGTGGGGATTCATTTCTCTGTATGGCCTGACTGCTCTTTGATTGAGTTTCTACATTCACAGCTTTCTCTTTGGTATCCCTTACTTCTACAGACCCTTTTAACTGGTCAGCCATTTCACCTACCACACTTGAGTGATGCGTCTGTGTTAGCGGATCTTCACTGGCTGATACACTTTTCAACCTCTCAAAGAACACATTAACAGTCTCCATATGTAAGTCGTCTTCACTGCCAGAGAGAACTTGCATTGGGCTGGTTGCGCCATATCTGCTTAGGTAAAGATCCACAGGGGACTCTGCATGGTCAGGACTGCTGGTCTGAAGCTCTGGGTCAGGCACTCTGCTCTCTGCAACCCTCCGTGCTCTGTAGCTTGCAATCTCATCCATGTCACTCATTCCTGAGTCCTCCATGCCTGCCAACACTGGGGGCAGCAGGTTGCACTCTTCACATTCCAGGAAGAATGAGTCCCAGTCTTGCTCTGAGATGTGCACACTGTATTCAAAATCATCCATTGAGAAGCACCAGGGAGACTGCAACAAAATAAAGTGGAAAAGTACAGATCAGCCTACTGTTTAATGCAATGCACAAGCAACCTAAAATATATAGAGAGTACAGATGGAACAACGTATTCATGCATATACATCGCCACTGTTATATCAAGGCTTTGTAAAGTTTGTAAGCTTAAGTGCCATTTATAAGTTTGTACACCGCAGTCAAATTACATAGTTTGCTGATT